TTTTTTTTTTTTTTAAGAAGCCATAGTGAAAAACATAATAGGTGCAGAACAGATATAAAACCAAGGGAAGTTGACAAAAATATCATTATGATATTCATGATGTAAGGGAGAATCTCCTTCCATTTCAGAAGTCATTCCATAGTTATCATCTTTATTTCAAAATCGCAATTTAAGATTACAATACCTGAATGAACTTCAATTTTAAGGAGCAAAGAAAAATAACATTAGCATGTTGAATACTTGTAAGATTGCAAATCACCAAAGAATAGGATTTGAAATAGTTTATTTTCTTCTAGTTTTACCACAGGGAGTCCCTGGGTGGTGCAAATGGTTAAGCACTCAACTACTAGCCAAAGGTTTGCAATTCAAACCTTCCCAGAGGCACCTTGGAATACAGGTCTGGCAATCTGCTCCTGAAAGGTCACAGCCTTGAAAATCCTATGGAGCAGTTCTACTCTGCACACATGAGGTCACTGTGAGTCAGAACTGACTCCACAGCAACTAACAAGTTTTGCCACATCCTGTCATTTCACTGTTAAAACAAAAATGTACCTACGTCATTAAGGATCCCAACCTAAGTTCTTAACAAAATCTGTTTTGCCATAATTCCACGTCATCATCCTAAGTGGAGACTATGTTTTCATTAATTTTGTCATCGTATTTCTCCTAAAGACAAACAGCTGTAAGTTCTTCACAGACTCCAGATACCTTAACAAAGTGTTAGATCCTTCATTCAAAGGTTCCATCTGTAAACTTTTACCATCAAAGCAAAAGTCATTGTCATCACAAGCTAACTGGAAGCACCCATTTCAAGAGGGAAAACTGACACCAAATTATGGAGTAATGTTTTAATGCAGTGCTTCTCAAACTGTAACGTGTGCCAGATACCAAGGGAACTTTAAACCTTCAAGTGCAGATTCTGACTCAGCGGGTCTGATGTAGAGCCAGAGGTTCTGCATTTCTAGCAACCTCCCAGATGATGTGGGTGCTGCTAGCTTGTGGACCACTTACCTGAGTGTCAACATCTTAAAGGATTCTTTTCCCATTCAAATGACTATTTTTAAGTGCCTTTCTGTCCAATACAAAAACGAGTAGAACCACTAGTTTTAGCCAAGGAACAAAAGTTGAGGCCGTGGGTGGGCAGCCAGGGACTCAGATCAGAAGGCTGTTCCTAAATCTCATCTACTTAGACATGGAGACTATCAGGCCAAGAAATGAGCCCCCATCATCCCCCATGGCTGACAATCCACACCTTTAGTGCTCCATCCACATTCTAAACCCAACTCTGCCAGGCACTACTATTAAAATAACCCTTCTACCAATCGAACCAGAAAGTGCTGGGTGGTGCAAATAGTTAACACGTACAGCTGTTAACCAAAAAGTTGGAGGTTTGAGTCCACTCAGAGGCACCTCAGAAGAAAGTCTTGGTGATCTATTTCCCAAAAAAAAATAGTTATCAAAAACACTGTAGAGCCCAGTTCTCCTTTGACACACATGGGGTTCGCTAGGAGTCAGAATCAACTCGACAGCAACTGGTTAATCCAATGTGGGCTCCCCTTGGTGATTCCATCAAGGGTTGTGTCCAGCGTTCCTTTCCCTCTCCTCAAGTAGGCTCTGATGCTTCTGCTGGAAGGACTCTTTCAGCAGAGAAGCCAACAGCTACCAGAGGAGAAAGACTAAAAAACCAAACCCATTGCTGCTGAGTTGATTCCAACTCATAGCAACTTTATAGGACAGAGGAGAACTGCCCCATAGGGTTTCCAGGCAGCGGCTGGTGGATTCAAACTGCCGACCTTTTGGTTAGCAGCTGAACGCTTAACCACCGCACCACCAGGACTCCAGAGGAAAAAGAAGGTGAAAATCAGCAGTGTCTCCCCAATTTCAATGACCCCAAAGCCTGACCTGTACTTGATCTACTGACTTCTGATACCAGAACACCTAAGAACACCTACTTTTCTTTAAAAGTAGAGGGAGGAAAGGAAAACTATTCCAGACATTCACTGAAGAGCTACATTAATGAAAGCACCCAGAGAAATCACAACTGCAACAAATATCTTGAACGCAAATATAAGCAAAAGAGGAAAGAAGTTATAAATAAACACACATACAACACAGACACACCATTTGTGGAACAACAACAACAACAAAAAAAAAAACTACTGCAAATTATCTTAGCACAGATTCTGAAAATATGGAGCATTAAGCCTTAGTACATAACATTGTTTGGAGACTTATACAGTTGCTAAATGGTCTGTAAATATCCTTTGCTGGATAAGCCAAATTTGCCAGGGGACTTAAAAGATTCTGGCCTATCTTATACATGGGTTCCTGAGCCTCTAAGTTCTTAACCAAATGAATGAAGCTGTCTGCAAAAATGTGGGAAACAAAATTAAGGTGACAATGACATCTGTACTCTCCTCCAAAAGTGAAGTCTTCACTTAATCATCTACACTCTCAATTATTTATCTACCTCAAAAAATCCAAAAGACAGGGCTGCATTTTCTCAACCTTTATCTAGCTTATCCAGCCTACACCCTTTGTCTTCCTCTTCCCCTAGACAAGGATAGACTATGACTTAAAAGAAAAATGTCAGAAGGATGATGATAGCTAATGTTTTTACTGAATGCTTTTTATGTCCCAGTCTGGTACTAACAGCTTTCTATGAATTATCTCACAACAAACCAATTAGAGAGGAACTGTCATTATCTGTTTTTCAAATGAAAGAGCTCACAGAGGTTAAGTAACTTGCCTAAGGTCACAGAGCTAGTAAATAAACAGCAGAGCTATGAAGAATACAGCAGATGGAAGGCTTCTAACCACTAGACTGTACCACCTAATGGAGGGGAGGAGTCAAAAACTCAAGCAAAAGTCATTACCGTCAGGGAACACGTTCATATGCAAGAGACTAAAAACTGTGGAGCGTGTCCTGTCTCAACTAAAGGGATAGTAATATACTACCCAAGGACGGTGGAGACAGTGGACAGAACTAAATGAGCAGAAAAGTCAGACAGACAGGGCCCACTAGGACATGTCTATCTTGTTTGGAAACACTGATATTTTGTGGCTCCTTTTGTCCTAAGGAGTCCCTGGGCGGTACAAACGGTTAATGCACTTGGATGCTAACCACAAGGTTAGAGGTTTGAGCCCACCCAGAAATGCCTCAGAAGAAAGGCCTGGCAATCTACTTCCAAAAAATCAGCCATTGAAAACCCTACGGAGCACACAGTTCTACTCTGACACACATGGGTCGCTATGAGTTAAATTTGACTCAACAGCAACTATTTTTTTTTTTGTCCGAGAGTACGCAGGGTTTGAGCAAAAAGTGAGTTGTTATATTTTGAGAATTTTGCAGCATTCTTTGGGCAGAAAACATCCATTAAAACAACAACCAAAAAATCTGGGAATGTTCTTGAGAATCAGTAAGGTTAGAAATCACTGCCCTAAAAAGTGGCTGAGAATTCTAGAATATAAAATAGTACAGAATGGATATATCAAGGAGAAAAAGCTAAAATACTAAGGGTTAAAAAGACTCAGGCTTCTTTCAAAAAGAAATGAAGGAAGTAGCAACTAAAAGAGCATAGTCAGCATCACTAAAGCTGCTTTGGCCTCTGTCCACCCTTCACTCCAATACCCGTGAAATGGTCAAGGGCCTTCTCATTATCATCTGGCTGCTCAGTGAAATACACAAAGGGCAAGTCTAAAAGACAAAAATAATTCAATGAGAAAGATCAAAAGAGAATTTAGCGGGTACCCACTAAAAACAGGTGGAAACCGTGCTGAGGACCCACCATCAAGCCCTGAAGCCTCAACCTCAATCAGCATTCCCAACTGGAAACGGGCTTGTGGAAATCCCATGCAAACATCTGCGAGCCTAAGAAAGCACACTAGGGAAGTACTGGTTTCAGGGGTCTATGTGTTCAAATCCTTAAGGTGCACTGGGAATTTGTGGCACGAGTTTTCCTTCACATGACAATGACTGTTGCTTTGACTTTCCTATTATATGGAGGTTTTCAAGATAATCAAATTTGTGGGTGCAGGGCTAATCCCTATCTGAAAGCTTTAGTCAGAGAGGAAAAGAATTCAGCTATTTCATGCAAAAGGAAGACTGTGTCCTTCCGAGACTGGAGGACAAGCATGTGGTCCTTCTATATTCTGATCTGACAGAAAAGCATAAAGACATTTTGAGGACCCAGACTGAATGGGATCCTTTACCAAACAAATGTCATTAATGGGATGTAAACCAAATTCTTCTCTTGAGCAAGCAGTCATAATCTCATCATGGTTTATTAAGTTTTTTAGTGGGATGCATGGCACAAAGATATTTATAAAACTCAAACGCTGGGTTACACAACAATAAAGACAGTCTTCAAAAAACACTATATGCAATCTAATGATGATATACTAGTCATAAAAAAAAAAGAAGTGAGTTTTTTTTATTGGGGCAAAAATGACAGGTTTTCTGTCATCCAATTATACAAGGATCTGAACTTATTGTAAGTTGATGTTAAGTGGGTAACTTCTGTGCTGTGTATATGATGTACCACTTACACTTTTTAAAGGTAGAAATTCCAACTTATAAAGTCAAGCATGCTTTTTTAATTGAAATAACACTCTCTAATAATTGGTAGCCTATTTAGTGTCGATCAAGTCACTTCTGGAGGAGGATTGGGGAACATGCAGACTGCACCGGTCAATCCTCATGTGATCGTTGTTTTAAATGTCAAGCGACTTAAATGATCTTCATTTTAAATTATAAGAGGCACACAGAACCTTTCTGGTCTTAAAGATAAAGTTAAGAAATATAAGTTTCAGATTTCCATGTCAAATTTCCAGGAGGCGGCTAAACAGCTATTCTTGTTACTTTTCTATCCAGAAAATGTCTTCTAATCAGCATCTGCTAGGAAAGATGATTGGATCTATAGTAATACTAGGGTTAAAGTGATAGAATTGGACACAGATGACAACATTTCTGCACGTGACAGACTTCTGCTTTCAGTGGCTGAAATCTGAAGGAGTAGTAGAATGAGATTTCATTGCTTTGCAGATGTCTGATTTCTGCTAGCAGAAAGCACCTCACTTTGAAATGTGTTTGAAAATGAATTGATTATCGACAGTGTTTCCTAGATGGGAGCCCCCGGGTGGTGCACGTGGTTAATGTATTCAGCTGCTAACAGAAAGGTTGGAGGTTCAAGTCCACCCAGCAACAATTCGGAAGGAAGATCTGGCGATCTACTTCTGAAAAATTCAGCCATTAAAAATCCTATGGAGCATCGTTCAACTGTGACACACAAGAGGTCACCATGACTTGGAACTGACTCAGTGGCAACTGTGCTGCTTTAATGTATACATGAGAAGTAACTTTGTTCCGTGACCTGCCTTTGGGGCTTTTTACCACTATCAGCCAGCGTTCTCACAAGTATAAGTCATAACTCACACAGGGAGAAAACGCCCGTCTGGCTGTGACATTTCTGATGTGTTTATATCCAAGTGCAGATTTCCACTTGAAATACACCTTCTCAGTAGGGCAAGGTAAGAAACAGGGAACTTTATTCCCAACTCCCCAATATCCTACCATTGGTTGCTCTGGGATTGACAACTTGTATCCGTTTCTAAAATTCGAAGGAACCGGTGCTCTATTTAGAATTTATTAAGTCAAAGGGGTATTTAAAAGTATAGAAAAAGAATTGAGGTGGAACATGTTTTCGACCAATTGCTCTAAGAACTTAGGTACAGCAACTGTCAATAACTGCTCCAATACATTTCAAATCCACTAAATGCCTTCCTGATGAAACAAGCAAAAATATCCTACCTTAACAAACCACATTCATATAATAAAACAAAACAAACAAACAAAAAAACACCTGACATTTCAATACAATGAAGGAAAACGGGCAGCTGCTGCAGAAGCTTTTATCTGAAGGGCTTGCCTTGTCTCTACCCTGAGCCTACCTCAGACTGAAGCAAAAGACAAGAAAGTCATTGTGGAAACAATAAGATTGATTGTGGAATTGATCTCCCACGGGGATTAGACAGAGATTCAAAATCTTCCAAACCAGGCGCACATCAACTGTAAATTAGGAAGATTTTGGGTCCCTGGGCTTTGCTTTTTTAAGACCGTTTCTGCGGATTCTCCCCTTAACTCTTGTCTAGCTTGAAACCCTGGCTTAAACAGGAGAAGCAGATCGATAGAGCAAGGGTTTCTAAACAGACTTAAATCCCAATCAGTCTCCTCTTTTCCCCTGTGGAATTCTTGCATATTTAGCTGGCTAGGGGCATGCCTTTTGCCCTCATCTTCACTTGATTTTTCTCCAGTTCCTGGGGGAGGAGTCGCCCTTCTGGCTGCAATCCAGGAAAAGGGTGCGGATTTACCAAAGGGGAATCCCTGGCTCCCCTCCACACACAGTGCATTAACAGTGCGTTAAAGCCTGGATCTGGAAGAGAGTTACAGAGGCAAGAGTGGAAACGTCTGCTGCGCCCTGGCCAAACTGTCCCTCCAGGGATGTCTCTAGTCTGCCCCACGGTGAGAGGCTTTGCAGGGTGACTCCCGCCCAGGTCCCCGCTCTCACTCCCTGTTCCACGCCTCACCTTCGTGGTGGAAGCTGCGCACCGTGTTGGCGCGGCTGGCTGCCTTTTCCAGGCGGTGGTCCCGGGCGCGCGCGCCTGGCTGGCCCGAGTGCCGGCGGTACAAATCCAGCATGTAGGGGGGCACCACGGCGTCCCTGCTGGGGGTGGGTCTCTGCTTCAGGCCGAACATGCTGAGCAGCCGCAACTCAAACTCGCTGAGGACTTCGTCCGAGGGCTGGGATGAGGAACGGCCCCACGCCGCCGCGAACTTCCTGCGGGCCAGCTCAGGAATGAGGCCGGCCGCGCCGCCCAGGAGGACCTGGGGAAGCAGCAACGCTAGAAGACAGCGGGTCCCGGCCACCATGGTCGACCTGCGGACAGGGCCGACGTGAGTCACTGAGTTCCCCGCCCAACCCCCTCCCTCACTCCCGCTGCCCCGGCTCCCTCCTCCTCCAGGGTGCCCACCTGGCTTGCAACACTCGCGGGGCTTTGTCAGAGGAGCTGAAGCAGGGACGTTTGAGGGAATGGAGGGTCCCTAGTTCCTGAGCCAGATAACTCACTCCTCCCATTCCACTCTCAACCCATCTGTCATCTGATTTGGGATTTTGTCCTCCCCCCCGCCCCCATCAGCGTCAATGACTGTCTCCTCTTTCCTGTTACACTCGCATTGACAGCCAGCACAGGGAACCTAGAGAAACCACCCCTTGGTCTGACACCCTGTGCCCACTAAACAATCCAAAACACACACAGCCCAGCACTCGATTGCTTATAAACACGGACAAACGGTACATGTGACCTCCTTAGAGGCACTGTATTAGAACTTCCTGATACACAGTCTATAACTTCCAGACCCTGCACATTCAAGACCACAACTTTCAAACGCCACTTGAAACTTGGGGCCCACGCCCCTAACCTCGGGGGTGTCAGGACAAACCACCTCAACCCCCGCACCTCCCAGTGCGGTCAAGATACACATGCATCTCCCTGGGATTACGTAAATGGCTAATATCTATTACTTCACGTGTCAGATGTTGAAAATGCAGTACAAGGAGGCACTGAAGTACTGCCCCCTCGCATTTCTGGAAAGAAACAGGGAGAACCCCAACTTCTACTGCTTTACTAAATGGGACGTGGCTCTGAGTAGAGAGTACATCTCTCGGAGAAACTTGGAGAAGAGAGAAGGAATCGTCATGGCAGGGCATACAGGTTGGCAGCTAACGGGTGAAAACCCAGGGGCCACTCTAAGGGATTTCTTTTCTTTTTTTTTTTTTAATCGCCTTAGTGTTAACAATCCTAATTAAATACCGAACGGGGGGGAAACGAGGGGCGAAGAGAAACGGGTCAGGCAGGCAAGGCTAGATGGTCGCCAGAAGCGGTTGGATGGGGGCACCCCCGCAGGGGTTCCGCTGCACGTGGACCTGAAGGGGGTCTGTTTATGTCTGGTCTAGCCCGACCCGGGGAGGGGCTCAGCCGCCACAGCCCCGCGCCCCACCTCGCGCCCCCCCCCCAATCCCCGGCCCAGGACCGCGTCCTCTACCTTTAGGAGACCGCAGACCGTCTAAGAAGCACGCGGAGACACGTCCATTGAAAGAGCCTCCACATGGAAAAACTCTGGCCAAAGGACCTGGTGCGGGGGTCGGGTGTCCGCTCCCTTCCTTTGCCTCCTGCCGGGCGCCGGCCGGTCAGTCTCCCTCTCCGCGCTGGGAACGGCGTCTAGGGGTCGGGCCCCGCAGAAGAGTGAAGCGGCGGCGGGGCTCGGGGACGACTAGGCTGTCCCCGCTGGGGGAGAGGCACCGGCGAAGTGGGGAACGCAAATTATTCTGCCTGCAAGTTCAAGAAGTCTCCAGCCAAGTGCTGACACACAACAACAGCGAGCAGGGGGAGGAGTGCGGGGCAAGGAAGGGAAAGGAAAAATGAAAAGCTGGTGCTGTCGTCGTCCTCAGGAACCAGCGCCCGTAGGACGCGTGACCCCGCGCGGCGCCGACTCCGGGACGCGAGGGAGGAGAGTCGGGCGCTCCGCGCTAGCTCCGCCGCGGCCCATGGCTCGGGGCAGCCATCCTGGTCGACGCCGGGTCCGGGGAGGGGCGCAGCGGCAGCAGCGATCTCGGTGCCTGGCGAGTTGCCCCCCCGCATCACTCTGCCTTACTCCAGCGCACCCCCATTCACGCTCGCCAGTTGAAAACACCGAGGCTCCGGCGCCCCGTCGTCCTCGGGCGCATTCTCCGGCGAATCGAGTCGAGTCCCGGGCTGCCGAGGCGGGTGGCTGCGCTCTCTTCTTGCTCTCCTAGACCCCCGGGACAAGCTGCCTTGCGCTTTGTGGCCAGCCTGGGGTCTGATCACACCTCGGCCAGCGCGTCCCGGGCCCCCGAATCCTGGCGAGGTGTGCTAGGCATCGCGGCGCTCGAGCTCCACTCCCGGTTCCTCAGCGCTCTGCGCGCCCGTCCGCGGCTCTGATGCGGCCCGGACAACCGAGGCCACGGCACTGTGGCGCGCGCGGCCGGGCGCTCCAACCCGCGCGGGGTCCGCGGCGCGGGGATGCCTCCGAGCACCCAGTGATCCTCCCGGCCCTCGTCCCCGAGGGCGTTCTGGTCGGCTGCGGCGGCTGATGTCCGGCGGTGGTGGCCAATCCCCGGCGGGGTGTGGGAAGCCGAGCGGCGGGCGCAGCGCGAGCCGGGCGCAGCTCGGCGCGGCTGG